TTACTGTAATTGAAAAACATAACTATCTAATAAAACGTTCCCCGGCCAAAGAGGTCACCTTAATACCAGAAAAAAAAATAAATAAATAAATAAAAAGCATAAATGTTTCAATTAGAATAAAACAAACTAAACTTATCTTATTTAAATATTTCTATATATTTTGATAAAATTTGAGTTTTACAATTCTCTAATTATAAATTTTTGTAAAAAACACTATAAAATCTCTAGAAATAATAAAACAGCAAAGACAGTAAAATGTAAGTATATGTAAAACTTTTGTAACTATAAAATTCATCTAGAATAGTATTCTACATTTATAGAGAGAGTTTTTATAAGTGTGCTAGACAATTAGTATGCAATTGCAGAATAAAGAATGTGCATTTATTTATAAGTCCCATTGTGGGGCTAACCTTCTATTGTAAATTTAAAGAGATGTTGCATTTAAGGGTGTTGCATTTAGGAAGATCTGACTGTATACACTATATTATTAATAATTGTCGCGGCTGATGCTTGAAATTAGGGACCTTGATTTAAAAATAAAAACCCTACCAAAATCTACTTATACTCTTTTATTATTAAAACTACCACTAAACCCTAACCCAACCCTAAAAAAAATCCCCTAACAAAAGGCCCCAAAAATTTTTAAAAATTTCATATTAAAATAATTAAAATTTCCAGCATCAGCCGCTACAATAATTTATAATTTTATTTAAAAAATTATAAATATTTTTCAAAATTCCAGGCAAATTTGCCTGGAATACAGATTAAGAGATAATATGTGGTTTTAAACAAAAATCCAATATCTTTTTGATTATTAAAACCAATAAAAATTTGTTTATCATTTCCGAAATATTTTGGATTTAATGTGATCCGAAATAAAAATTCCAAAAATTGAAATTAAGACTATAAATCCGATACCTCCGATATTTCTGATATTAAAATGAGTGGCGTGAAATGTTACTATCCTATTTGAATAGCTTATTTCAAATACTGTTCCCAAAACCGATCCTGTCAAAGTTGACCTCATAAAAAATTAATCCACCAGGTCTATTTCCGCTATTTGAATCTAATAATGTTTCAAATCTGATGACCTCTCAATACTGATATAAAGCCTGTCCATCAAGCATATCGGTTTTGGGAGGTTTAACAGTATGTATCTTTTAATGAAACATTCAATTCTTTAATGGGATACATTGTGTTCCAATTATTTATACATATTCGAAATGCATTACCGTATAAGCGCGAAATAACGCGCAGGGGCGTTATTTTGAATAACGGTCCGAATTAGGCTAATTTAGGCCAAATTTCGAAATTACACCCCTGCGCGTTATTTCGCGCTTATACGGTAACGATCTTTACACATACATAAGTAATTAATGTGGGTAAAATGAAAAATATTCACGAATTTAAATGCTGTTAAAACTTCCCAAAACCAACATGTATGGTGGACAGGTTTTGTCAGTATTGAAAGGTCATCATATTGAAAACATTATAAACTATTAGATTTATATAGTGAATTAAATAGTTCATAATGATATCAAACCGAATGACCTCAATACTGATACAAAATCTGTCAACCATGCATATTGATTTTGAAAAGTTTAACAGCGGTTGAAACTGGGCAGCGAAGCTCCCTACATGTGCAATTGTCTAATTACAAAATTATGAACCAAAAAAAGTTTCACACTATTGAATCACGTTTTGAACATGACAAATCATATCTTCGGACAATTTCGGACTCTTCGGATTGAGTCTAAAATATGGGCAATTGCGGACATTTCGGAAATTTGCATGCTGGGTGAAACTAATATCGCCCAAATTTCGGATTCGGATTTGGCGAAACATTATGCCCAATCAAATTATTTGGACGAATTGAGATCCAAATTGTGACATCTCTACTTATCTGATATAATTTTTTTTTTGAATTGTTAAAGCGGCTAAACAAGCCATAGTTATTCATGCGACGAGCTTGTTTGTTGGCTATTCGGAGAAGCTGTAATTATAGATTATAAGATATGCCATAAAAAAAGGCATTCTTTAATTGTCATAATGAAATTTTTTGTTATAAAGACTTTTACACTAGATTTAGTAAACTAATTAATCAAACATAAAACTGGTAATGATCAATTGATATTATTTATTTTAAAGTCAACCAATTTTGCTATATATAAAATACAGTTAATACTCTCTATATAAATGCATATTATTTATAGGCATAAAAAAAACAACCAATTTTATGCATTTAGACATCTAAATGCATATTACTAATAAAATTTTGAAAAAAAAATTAGACAGTATCAACTGTAGAATCAATGAAACTAATGTAAATGTTAAATATAAATATAATAACATATTAATATTATACTGATATCGGTCTGATAATTATTTGACCATTTAATTCGTTATTCTTAAAGGGAAATATGTAAAATATTCAATTAATTAATTATCTGATTATAATTCCTCAACAACAACGTTATTAACACGTTTTTCATCATATGATGATTCCAAGTCTCTCTCATTCTCATTCTCATTAGCGTAATCAATGTAATCAGGAGTAATTTCAGGTTTACTTGCAGGATTAATGTTGTATATTATAAGACCAACAACTACAAGACAGAATTCCACAGGACCCCAGATTTTAGACATCTAAAGAATAATTGAGATTAATTTAAAGGAAATAAAATAATTATCCCTTTAAAAATATATTTTTAATATAAAATACTTACTGGGCCAAGATTTACAAGATAAAAGAGAGCGAGAGCATAAAAATCACTGGCGAGTAAGGAAATATTGAAAAATAAGGCAGATGAAAGACGGAGGAGGACTGGCGTTAAAGTGTATAAAAAGATCATCGCAACATTGTATGCAATAATAAGACCGACTAAAAAATTAATAATGAGCGTATTAATAACGTTAAGATTAATTAAAAATAGAATTAATAAAATGCAAATGATATTACCTATTAGCGATAGTGAACCGGATGCTGAACCTAAATTTTGCAATTCTGTGCGTTCGAAAATTGCTCTAATGAATGCAAATATATGTTAAAAAATAATGTTATCAAAGAAAATCATTGACATTGAATTGACCTGTTGTTATTGACCCATAAAAAATTTTTTTTGTCTTTTTTGACTTATTGCTATTGACTTTGTAATTCGGCATGACATTGTCACCTAAGTTAGTAATAAGCCTCTTTCAGCTGAGCAAAACAAGTTTCGCCGGAACGAAAGTTTCGGTTTAACCCACGATGCTGGTTTTAAGACTCAAATGTTATAAGGACTAATTATTTGAAATCGAGAAATAATAATTTTTTTTTTTTTCTATGGAAACACTCGGTAACGAAATAGAGACGACTAATACTTATTTGCTCAAAATTTCTAATTACGCTACATGAATGCTAAATTTATTACAGCAACAATAATACAGTATGTCGAATTTTTTTTAGCGGGATCAATAACAATGAGTCAAGGAAACAATATCAATGTTTTCCGTCAAGTGCGAGTAAAATAAAAGGAAAAAAGAAGTAATAAAAAATAAACTTACATTTGAATAACACTAACAATCGTACCCCAAACTCCCATTTGACCAACCACTTCATATAATGGTCTTTTTCTCACACAATATTCTTCATACACATTTGATATACCGTAAAAAGTTGCACCAATAACAGCAAATGCATCACCTAAGGGTGCATTTGGTGGTGGAGCTCCACTTGTAGCTGAAAGTCCAAAAAGTCAATTTAGATATATGATAAAATAAATCAAAAGACATCAAAATAAAACAGTTCACTGACTAGCATTAATAGGTGTGCCAATCTCAAGATCAGCCAAGATTACTATTCCAAGGCCCGCGAGACAAATAATAACACCAAAGTATTGACTTATGTGATATCTCATTTTGAAGAATATAACTGACAAAAGTACAACCACAGGGGTTGCCCATGCATCAAGCAGTGTCATGGAAAGGGCAGATGTGTAAAAATAACCTTTTACGGCAAAATAGTTTCCTTCAACATCCACAAGACCAAGCAAAAGATCTGATGGTATAGTCCGAATTAATAGGAAAATTGACAAATATATTAATTTACATATCAAAAAACTTACACTTCCACCATCTTGACTTTAACATCTTTATATACCCCATAATACCATACTTATAAATTGTGATTGGTGTGTAAATAATAGCTAAAGTAAAATATAAAAAAAGGGACTGAGTAGTAGGAATATTAACATTCTCTATAGACAATTGAGCATTTGACACGATTGTAGCGGTAATACAAATTGCAAGAAATTGACCAAGTAGAAATATTATAAGAAATTCTTTTGAAAATATATACGAAAAATCAAGAAAAAAGCATTTGAGTTTTTTTGGTGGCGGTTCATATTCATTACGAGGCGGAGCAGATGTGAGGTCAGAAGAGACATTGGTTGACATTTTGGCTTAATAAACTACATAAAATCGTCAAAATTATTATAAAGATCTCTTATAATCTTCTGCCTGCAAAAAGAAACAGAAGATAATGAAGAAATCCGTATTATTATCAACAAATTCATCGGATGAATATATAGCATTTTTTCCTACGTTTAATATTTATTAGTTGATAGTACAAGATAATCTGGTGCACCAGAAAAAAGTAATTTTGGAAAATATTAATGTTTACATATATAATTACGCCACTTAGTTCGAGGTGTGGCCTTTTTTTCTTCGGATTAAGTTTACTTTTTTTTCACATAACACAAATTTGGATTGTTCAGTTATCCAATAAGATCATTCTTACAAATTATCATTGACAAACGGAGTTTTGGCCGTGCTTATGTCATAATAGGAGAGTGATAAGATTCATGGTTGAAAGAATTCGTACGAACGTATGTATATACGTACGTACAATAATTTTTTATCTGTTCGGACGGATGAAAAAATACACGGATATCCGTTTTATTTGAACAGTAGACGATGTATAATATTAAAATACACCAGCTTGCTTTCATTAATGAGGGTCAGAATAATAAATGGCTGGCTAAAAAAAAAAAAAAAAAAAATATGGTGCTAACCATGTTTTCACTTAGTAAAGATCGTGTAAAATTTTAACTCGGAAAGTTCCACGAAAAAACATAACATAAATTTTAACTTAACAAATATAAACATGTTTTTTTGTGTAAATTTTTTCATTGCATTGTACGTACATACACAAATGCTCATATGATACGTATCAAAAAATTTTTGTAATATGTATTTCATAAGCAGTTATCTATATATCTTAAATAATTTATTAACTAGGCCAGTTATCAATTAATTATACTCATTTTGGTTAAACAGTACAATTATCACACCATATGGTATACTAATCATTTTTCATGTCCAATTTTAGGAAGTGCACAAACAACCTTGAGAATAATTGAAGGAATTGGTATTTGTGAAAAAAGAAAAAAAAATGTGTGGGCGACCTCTACATTAAATTCAAATACAAAATAGGATGTGATACATATTATGTAATTAAAATACAGAAAACTTGTGACGATGTGAAAATATTAGAGTGTGACACATCATATGTAATTAGAATAGGTTACTATATAAAGCAAATTGTCAATCACACAATTTATTGCGAGACTTATAAGGTTAAGTAATTAATGGAGCTACACAAACGAAGCTGTTGATCAGGCACGAACTTTGTTTATTGTTACAGTAAGAACGGGGCAGGAGGACCATTAGTAGAAAAGTCAGCTGAAAATTTCGCTGTCACGTGATAATGGAACTTAGTAAGGTAAATTGATTATATACTAACAAATTTGTAATTAAAATCACGTGACGCATATAAATTGCTACCTTTCTATTTTAATCAATGTGAAATGGCGTGCATAAGTATGTCCAAAATGCATTTTGGAAAGTTACTGACTTCTGAATGAGGTTGCAAACTTTCAGAAGTAATTGTTAGCTATTGGGAGGAATCTTCACCAGATTTAGAGAATCCCAAATGAATGAGATTTTGAGATGAAATGAAAACAAGATGATTTGCAGGTACTCATGTTATTTAATGATTGAATTCTTTGCACTATCGTAATGATCATCCAGACCTACGATGAGTTTTTTTTTTTTAGAGTGGTTCAATAAAAATAAAGATAAAATAGGTTAGATGTTCAAGAACAATGATTTGCAATAAGCTATACTTTTTCAGTTTATTTAAATGACCGAGTCATTTTTAGTAAAGATATCACAGCAAAGAACGTTTAAGAAAGTGATGTAACCTGACTAAAGGGGTCGACATCGACGATTTACAAACCAATACCATCGTACTAACATTTAGTACTGTAGTATGTTTCTGATTTAGCCAACAAGGTTTTCCTATTTTAGACTAGATGCTGCTATTTAATAAATGCAGTTAATTTAAATTATAAGTTTTTTTATAGCTGGTCGAATTATGTGAAATCATTTGCAGTAGTAAGCTATGCTTGCTTCGTGAATGAACACCTATTACTGTGGAAACGACTGCGTAATTTTAATTCACTATATAGCAAAATGGTAGAGATCGAAAAGTAGCGACCCGGATCAAACCCGGGTTAAAGATCTGGGTCAATAATCAAGCTTGATACCTTACAATTTTAAGTTGTAATATATCAGTATTATATATGTTTGAGGCTGCCTTGAGATATAAATATTTAAATTGGAATATCTTGGGTTTTGCATCAAAAAAATTTCTCAACCTTGCTCTTAGTTTGAGATCTTTCATTTTCTACATTACAGCTACTTTCATAATTCCTGGAGCACCTGATAAAAATTGACCGAATGATTTTTCGGCCGATCTGGTTAAGTTATATTTCGGGAATAATAAGATTCAGTAACAGATACATCAGATACGTAGTTTAATAAGATCAGATGACTAATATATATTACAATAAGACTAAATATCGACATGCACTTGTAAGTCGTAAACTTCAATTCCTATTCTTTGGCACGAACCATTTTCGAGTCTTTATTATTTTCGACGAAAATTTGGCTTTAAAAAATTGTGTAAATTTTCAATTCCTATTCTTTAGCAAGATTCATTTTCGTTCAAACGAACGAAGCCTTTATTCATTTCTAATTATTTTCATTTCTTGTCGAAGACGAAAAATTAGTTTTTAAAACATTCTTTGGAAAGATTCATTTTTTGTTCAAACTAGACTTTTATTCACATTTTTAAAAAATTGTGCAAAATTTTAATTCCTATTCCTTAGCAAGATTTATTTTTGTTCAAACGAACGAAGCCTTTATTCATTTCTAATTATTTTTCATTTCTTGTCGAAGACGAAAAATTAGGTTTTAAAACATTCTTTGGCAAGATCCATTTTCGTTCAAACGAAGCTTTTATTCAATTCTAATTATTTTCAGCGAAAATTCATTTTTAAAAAATTGAGCAAAATTTCAATTCCTATTCTTTGGCAAGGTCTAT